TTTCTTAAGTTTCACTATAAAAGAATTGTCTAATTATGTCAAAGACAATGCTTTCAGTGGTGACTCGATGAGCTCTACTCAACGTTAATAACAAAACACCAAGAAAAGCAAATTTTGCTCAATTTTAGAATTCTCAATACTTTAAAATTTATAATCGTTGAATTTGTTGTATTTTGATGGTAATTATTTATTTCAATAAATTAAATGGCAACCTCATGCCTAGTTTTCATGAATATATAATTCCATATACCTTTTTTTTATTTGTTTTATTGAAGAAAAATAAAATAATAAATAATTATTTCTTTTTAATGTAACGCTGAAAATCTCGTACTCGGTTTCCATGACGCATTGAACCGGAACTATTATTATCAGTCGAACCTGCTTGATCATTATTTTCATTGACATTTTCAGTTCCAATTAATATTTTATCTGTATCTCGTTTGTTGAAAGGTTTACCATATAAAGCCATGATCAGATTCAAGAAAAAGAATATATTGATGAGTGATAAGATACGCATGTTTGTTATTTCTCCAAATGATAGACACAATACAGTAGAAGAAAAATATGAATCGATATTCAAAACAAAATACAGGACAATTTAATAAATGAAAACAATCTGTTACATTCAATATTAAGTGACTACTTATCAAATGAGAACAAATGTTTAATTATTCGAATATTTGCAATATTCTATTAATCGAAAGAAAAAGAAAAATGATTTTGCTAATATTTATGCGAGATACTTGATTCAATTTTTTTTCTTCTGTCGTTTTACTATACCGTCAATTTCAATCGAAAATCTCGGACTGACGAACATGAAAAATCTCGAATGGGGAAAAATAGATGAAATCTATATGTTGAGTATAGGTTTGTGAGTTAAGAAAAGGTCTATACCTACGCTCACACCTCCCAGCTTGGAATAAAAATTTATAAATTCATCATTTTCTATTCTATTGTCTTTTTCATGTGATAGAATACAATTCTTTTGTTGATAATATTACTAATAAATTTCATTTCTAACGTTTGACTTTTCGATGTCATTCTTTCGACCCTTTTTGCTAAACAAATAATTGTATATATGTAATGCGATACAAAAGAAAACGTCTTTGATTTTTACAGTATGCATAATGACAGATCTCGAAGAAATAAATATCTCCATATATTTGTTCAAATTGAATACCATCATTCATTCTTTATCGCACACTCTCAGAACTTTTTTTTTCGAACGAAATCACGAGTGGGAGGATAGGTTTTGAATAGAATAGAAGCCTCGTTCACTAGATTCGACATCTTATATTAGTTTATATATTGAATATTTCTGAGATTTTTTAAATTCCATATTTAAACAATAGTATTTAAAATATTTATACAATATTTTATGCATAATACAAGTTCAAATGGATATTTCAACTGCGTTTATAATATTCTTCACAACATACTCTGTGGAGTGGTATTATAATAATTCGATGCGAATAAGAAAAATTATCACAAGCAACAAATCAAACATTGTTCGACAATTTCGATCAATATATCAACCCATGTCCAAGAAAATGGTACTGTTTTCTGTAAGCTCGTAAAAAAGTGAAAATAGTATTAAAAATGGTGGTCATTTTGTAGTGGAAAAACGATCCGTCAAACGAACTGAAGGATTACGGGGAAATATGGTGAAAACTAATGCCGTAATGCGCCGTTTTATAGCCGTTGCAGGTGATTTACGGTACTGTTTCTGACTGTCGGAATGGTCGTCCTAAGAATTTGTATTCTTTGAAAGACCTACTATTTTTTTTTGAAGTAATTTTAATAAAGTTACAATCGACATTTACATAAACAATAGCATTTCTTCTATGGATTTTTGATAATAAATCATCTACTACTATTGTTATATTGATCGGTCTTTCTTTATATGATGCATTAAATCGTCGCAGTGATGCATTCGAAACTATGTCCGATGTATTTCATCCCGTAAAAGAAATTGTGTCAACAGTTACTAGTGAAATATGGTCGTCGTTCAAACTAGGATTGATTTCTCTTTATCAAGTTATAACAGTCATTAAGATTATCGAGATTGTTATAATTGGTCTTTTGCTATCGAGTATTTTAGGTGTATTTAATTGTTAGTTAAAGTTCTGACTTAAGTAATCAAAATATAAACAACGAAAGAAATAGTAATATATAGTGCAAGTTGTTTTTTGATAAAATGATAAGAAATGTGCAGAAAGTAGAAGATCAAAGAAAACTGATTTATTAAAAGACAACAAAAATAAGAATTCAATTAAGATTTATTTTATGGCATAAGATGAATTTTAACAATCGTTAATAGATTGATTTATTTAAATTAAAGATGAATCATTCAAGTGTTATTTGTTTAATTGTTCATGCATAATTTTTTATGTTACTCATACTATCACGGCATAACAGCGTTCAGACGTTGACGTAGTATATTTCAACCATCGGGTATGATTGTAAGTCATCTATGCCCACACGTCACACTCTGGACCATGATTCAAGCCCTAGCATAAAGATCCATCGAACAACAAATCATAGAGAAAAAAATAGAAAACAACTATAGTCCGTTCAAAAAGTCCGTGCGTGTGACTATTTTTTGAATAACTCGAGAAAGCAAACAGCTAGAGACCTGTGGTTTTCACCAATCGAAAGAGGAGGAGTTAGGACGTCTTTTTCTTTGATAATGTGCCAGACGAAATTCTTTTAAAACTGATCATCTTTGAAAAATATAGAAAAGAATGCATGAAAGTGACACAATACACATGAAGTTTCGATTATGACCTTTGATTTAGATAGAGGGACTTTAGATCGATAGTTCAAGATGCAACGGAAATAACTCTCTAATTGCATTCTAATGTTGACCAAATGAAATCATGTATTTACATGCCCAAATAATAGGGAATTTTGCTGATATTTTACTACGTTTTTCCATTTTTTGTCAAAACAGCTGGATACTTCGATGAAAATGTAATGAAACGTAAGAAAGTGTATTATGTTTTGAACTATAGATCTGAAGTCCCTCTATCTAAATCAAAGGTCATAATCGAAACTTCATGTGTATTGTATGTCACTTTCATACATTCTTTTCTATATTTTTCAAAGATGATCAGTTTTAAAAGAATTTCGTCTGGCACATTATCGGAGAAAAAGACGTCCTAACTCCTCCTCTTTCGATTGGTGAAAACTGCAGGTCTCTAGCTGTTTGCTTTCTCGAGTTATTCAAAAAATAGTCACACGCACGGACTTTTTGAACGGACTATACCTGTTATATTCTTTCAATTTTATTATTTTCACAAGGTTTTTATTATATAAACTGAATTCGAATTAAATCAATAGTTCATGATAAATGATGACATTTGAAAAAGTGACGATTAAAGAACTAACTCCACAAATACTTACTGTTCTAAGATGCATGTTTACTTAGAAATGCTTAGGGTTACCTTTTAGACTGAAAGTCAGTAGTAAATTAAGAGTTTTTAGCATCATCAATCACAAAGGTCGATGAATACTTGTATCATTTTGCGAAAATTACGAAGAGGTCGATTATTTGAAGAAGTGAAATTTATATTAATGCAAAAAAAAATTATAAAGCTAAGAACAGTTTGTAACTAACAATGTGATATTATCTATCATCAAATTGTACACATAAACTAAGTGAAATTTTCGTTTTTCTTTTCTATACTTGTAAATCATCATGACCTTCATTATAATCTGATTATGATACTATCAATAACAAAATGTATTTGAAGCCGATCAACATATTTTAAAAGCTGAAAAAGAACTGTTGTTTAGGTACTGTTTTGATATGCACAAGTTGTAATTAAATATAGTTCTATGTTTTTTTTTATTTTGCTTGCCTCAGATTTTGAAGTATGAAGATCGTCAACTTAAATATCAGATAATTTTGTATCGTTGAATGTTAAATTGATTATTGATCGAATATTATAGTTAGTCTTAAATAAACGGATTTCATAGTCAATATATTCTTATTTTAATCAGTACTTGGCATTTCTGTAGTTTCTTTTTCAATGAAAGATGTAATTATTCATTTCATTATTCGAACACAAAAACCAATCGAAATCTTTTGCTTTCTTCTGATGATTGAATTCTCAAACAAAACTGAAGTCTTACTATGAATGATGAAACAAAATAGTTGTTTGACTATTCATTTCCTTCAAATATTAATGATTGATATTTGTCTTCAGAAAATATAAAAATGTGATAAAATGATTAACGATTCTTCTTTGATCTATCACAGTATGATACTCACGGAATGATATTATTCTGTCATTTCTAATGTATCATACTATACTATCGAACAGTTATTTTTCAACAAATTAAAAAACTCCCTTAATAAATTAAACTCAATTATTTTTCTTAAATTGGCTGAGCTACCTGTTTATCATACATTTGAGTTGAATGTTACAAAACATGATTATATATCTGCAATTATGACAACCTTAATCAATATTGATTAATCCTATGAATATTTGAAAATGATAGTATAAAAAAGGATTGATTTTTCATATTTAAAGGGACTGAGCGATTGTGATATATGAATAAAAATTTCTTGAAAAACAGTTTATGATGTCAAATGACGAATATCAAATCATCAATATAGTCAAAACATTCAATGAAGATCGTGCAATAATATATGACAACATCAATTTGCAAAATAACGAAATGATGATGTGTGAGTCTTGTTTTCCTCTACACATTTATATTCTGCAATTTCATACATCCACATTCCATAATTAATGTAGTCCTAAGTTATCTTATTTTTTTTTTAGTTCTCAAAATACTTTTTCTGGCGAGGTTATTATTCTTCACAAAGCATCTTTATTGATGGACGATCTTTGCATACATATAGATATATGTCTGAAGAGTGATTCAGAGTTCTTTTCATTCTAATGAAATGACTAGCAATAATAAAAGATATATTCAAGTATAAAAGTGTGATCATACATGCGACATGCGTTTATGTTCATTCCTTTCTATTTAATCGGTATAAAGAAATTATGGCAAAAACAGTTTTGTTTACGATGTAAATTTTCTAATAAACACTTTTGACAAACGATTTTCGATGATGACGATTCACATTTATAATAATATGGCGTCAATTGATGTGTAGTAGAAATATTTGATTGTTGTCGTTGTTGTGGTTTAGAGTATGTGTGAACACATATACAACAAGAACAATAGTGATACTCTGAGGATAATTGAATCTTCTCATAAGTATTTGTTGTATGATTATGATAAGATAATTGATCGTCAGATGGTAAATTTTGTTGAAGACTTCGATTAAATACGTTCGTCATTGCTGATGATGGTGACTGGTTTGTTATAGTAGTTAATGGTGTTAAAGAATTATATGAGGTTGGAATGATCTTAAAGAAAAATATATAAATTAATAATAGATATTTGAATTTAGTTTTTACCTTTGAGAATGATATCAATCCATCACTAATATTAGTACGTTTTGTTTGACGATGACGTTGTCGTAATTTACGATAAAATTGAAAACTATGTGTATATATAAACAAATAATTAAAAAAAAGCAAAAAAAGAAACAAATTGATTACTATCTTACATAATACCGAGTAAAAATAGAAGACCAATAGAAATCAATGTAATAAATATACTCAGAGTAATAAAAAATGACTGTGTTTGTTGTTGATGATTTGTTAATGTAGGTAATAAATTATTAACAATAAGTTGTGGAAATATTGGTGGTTGTGGTGGTGGAATAAGTAGATAACATTGTGATTGTTGACGACATATTTCATATGTTTGATAAGAATTTATAGAATTAAATGAATGAAATTTTCGATTTGATAAAGATTGATTCATTATTTCATATTGTCTAATCTATAACAAAAGAAAGGGAATCTTACACTGCTCTCTTTTCTTCCTTTCACATATGTGACATAGAGTTCAAGAATTATCATTTTTCTCAGCAAGAGAAAGAATCACGAGAGAACGACTCCTTTTCTTTTTTATTGATTTCTTTTCTTTCTTGATGTACATGCAAAATGATGATAAGTGTTGACAGACGCAATACTTATGTATGTAGGAGACAGCATAGCAAATACAAAGCACTTTTTCTTGAATTAGTCTGTTGTCAGATATATACTCTCAGATAGAAAATGCAAGATCATTATTACTTTCATAGATAAAGAACCTTGAAGAAAACTTAAGATGGTTTTTCTAACTACAGAAGATTGATTACAGACCAATTATGACCTATTCGAGTATGTAATAATCTAATGTAACTGTTGGATTATAAATCAATTATTTTTGCTTACCAAAAAAAAATAATGAAACATGATAATTAGATTCTTTGACTGTAGTAGAGTTTTTGTTCCACAGTTGCAAAGCATCAAGATGCCTTGTTGCAAGATAGAATTAAGACAAAATTTTTCTTTCTTAATTGTTCTAGTTTTCTAAATACGTAAGTCAGTTATAATGAATGATAATGAATAAGAGAACTAATTTTGTTTATATGAAATTCTGAACATTGGATATTATAAATATTGTTCTATGACTAGACTAGACGCATGATAAAATCATGTTCAAAAGGTATTACAGTACTCTCATGACTATATAATTGTTTATACATAGACAATAACTTAACACAACAAAAAGAAGTTCAAAGGTGTTGCTTATTGTCAATCACCAATCTATTCGCTAGGATTATTATTTTTTGTTTAACTATACAATCAGTATCGATATCTTTGCATATTTATTGACAATTAGGAAATTTCTCACTATATATTTCATCAAATGGCGTTAAAGAAATGTGTTTCTAATTTGATTTATTTTCAAATAGTACCTCAGTCAACCAGAATGTAATTATAAAACATACTTAGACAATAAAAAGTATTTTATGTACTTTATATATGTATATATGGTATAGAACGCATCAAATAACGATAAATCGTATAAAATAAAAGTAAAGAGAAAAGATAAAAATTTTGAAGCAAATAATTAAGCATCGACGAAAGATCGAATTTTGACGTGTCTAGTTCTAAGATTTATTATATGCGAATGATTTTTTTTTTCTTCTCACTTCATTGTTAAACAATCATTCGTCTTCTTATGATGATGATGATGATGAAATAGCGGCATCTCAGCATATATGTGTTCTTTCACTTAAGAGTGATCATTTATTACCTTGACAGATTGTATAATTTTGTTTTTTTTTTTTCATTTCAAAAATCAAACAGCTATTTAATGAATCTTTCCTCTTAAGCAGGGCAGTCAATGCATAAGTGTCACATTTCTTAATGTAATTTCAATTATGTTCATGCTATCAACAACTGACCTTTTTTTTTTATATATATCTGAAAGATTCATATCAGGATGTATGACCAGCAAATATGTCTTATTCTCTATGTAATGAGTTGCACTATGTATAAAACTAACACTCAAATTTTTATTAATCTCGTATGTACTTATATACTGATGAACAAAATTGATAAGCAATGTTTGTCTAATGTTGACACTTATATGAGTATACAAATATAGTGAGAAAAGATAGTCCTAGTCTACTAATTAAACTAACCTTTGTATTCTTATGATAATTGTAATTGAGACAGAAATATAAAACAATTACGATACTCTTAAGTTTAAAGAAGATTTCTATGTTTTTTTTTTTGTTTTAAAATATTGTGATCATACAAAATATTAGTTGGAAGAAGAAAATCAGTTAACTTATGCGTTATTATAATTGCATGTGAACAAGAAAAATCATTATTTCATGCAATTTTATAATTCTTCTTGCTACCAATATATGTATGAGTAGAGTTATAGTCTTTCTTTTTTTTTGGTTAGATTACGTCTGAGACAATATTAGATAATCTATATGTGAACATCGTTTTGATTAATGATGGAGGTCAGTCAGAATTTGTTGTTCAATGAATGTCTCGCGAGAGAATTTTTACAAAAGACTACTCATGCAAAGAATATCGATGATTTCCGTGTTATTAATCAACATGGAAAGAGACGAAAAAGGAAGTATACTTTAAACAATAGTTAGTAATAACGATAGATTATTAAAGTTTGCTTGTATTGAGTTGATAGACAATGTCATAGGAAGGTAATGAAAATGAAATTTTTTTTTTCTCACAAGCTGATTTAATCTTTTCTCTGCAGGACAACATACACTTCCGCAGTTCCTAATTGAACTGAAATTAAAAAAAAGAAAAGACTAATACCTTTCACTATATTTTTGTAAGCATCTTTGATTTATAAACTGTCTATACGAGAATAAGCTCTCATATATATATATATTTCTTTGTATTGACTATTAAAATCGACAAGATGTTGCCTATATTGTATTCATGTAAATGAAATGACCTCGGTGACATTCTCAAGAATAGTCGTGTGTATGGCACTAAGATAAATGATGATGACAAGAGCGGTACTTATAGGTATAGAGCATGAACTGTTAATATGATTATTTCTAATCAATTTTATCAACTTGTGAAGTTGTTTAATGTTGTGTATATTGAATGGATAACGATCAAACATTGAATGAACGTGTGCGTGAACATATTAAGAATTATAATGGAAACACATGAAAAAAGATTTCATGTCATACAAACTTCATTCAAAAAAAAAAGAAAAGCAGCATTTTCATCGTGTTTAAGTTAATAAATTTTCTTTAAAAAGAGGAATAAATCAAACATTATACTTGTTACTTTTTGCAAATCTAAAGGTGGCAAAATTTTTGTCTTCTTTATTGCGGAGGAAATGAGCGAAAAGAAGATGGTCGATGTAAATTAGAGTGCTCGATTAGAGGAGAATTGAGAATTTTCTTTTCAAAATGTCTAAGTTTATGCTAACTCTTTAGAGTTTCGTGGTAAGCTTAGGACAGCAATCAGGCGGGTTTCGAAACATCATTAGCTTTTTCCTAGCAGAAAGTAGAAATGAGTCACCACTTTTTACGAGAGTTTTGAGTCCTCTACCTCTAAAAAAACAATACGGATAGATTTGATGTAGATATCTTGATTAAAGAGAAACTAATCTAGCATTTTGTAGTATCAGAATCAGTAATGGTTCGAGTTGACCATGAACAATCTCAGCAATCTTTAACACATCCTCGAAGAGCTACTTTAGTAGCAATTGAAAATATTTTGGTTCAACCAAAAGCAAGAATATTGACATGGCCTTTTGAATGCTAATAGTTATCAAAACATATTCGAAACAATTGACAAGAGTGATTTTGATTGTGGACCTAATAAAAATTAGATATTCAATTAGGTTTTCATGAATGACTTTTTTTTGTATACATTATAAATCTTGTTTTGATTCTAATTTTGGAACATTTTTCCTGAATTAGGAATACTAAAATTTATTTGTCTTTGTGTTTTTATTTGTATTATAAAACTATTCCATGATTAGATATAATTCAACTAATGAAATATTAAACAACAAAATATATTATCAGTCAAAGGATATGACTAATAAGTATTTTTTTTTTTCATAACATTTCCCAAAAAGCCAATGACACATCAAATAAGAAACAGAATAGATTTTTATTTATTAGTAAATCCATATGTCATCATAATAGAACTATAGATTGACTAATTTCCATAACCGTGTGACTTTCCAGCTGTATTCGACACTTGGTCGAACACTATCTTATTTCTATGCAAAGTAATATAGTTTTCTGACATTATTAAGCCAATTGATTATTTGTTTCGAATATGTAACGTATATGATTTATTTTTCGAAAGGAAAGCATATAATGTCTATTAGATAAAAATTAAAGGAGAAGTCTTTTTATAATGTGTTAGTGGAAGAAACTATGAAAATTTTTAGTGGAAGAATATGAAAAAAAAAACAAATGTGATCATAAGAAGTTATCAATGGAGAATTCGAAAGTCAATAGGTCATAAGTAAAAGCTTGATAATATAATTTGATCTTCCTTCTGTAACAAATCTAATCAGTATTTCTCAAGAGAGAAAATCAGTATATTGGTTGAAATAATATATAAATACACAGAAACTCCTTAAATACAAACAATATCAATTTTCCTTTAATCTACTAAAACTAATAGTGAGATAAATGATTCTGAGTTTTTTGAAAAAAAAGTCAGTTATTTCATTTTACCTAGTACTCGGAACTAAATCTTGATTTATT